AGATGGTTTTTAACTTTGAAAAATCCCTCCAGCCGGGAATGGCCGGGCTCCCCCTCCTCGTGGCCCCCCGGCCTGCTCTCCGAGAAGTGAGGAGCGCGGCGACACGGGTGGGGAGTGGGGCGCCCAGGGGGAGACTCACTTCCTGCCCTTGCCCTTGCCCTTGCCCTTCTTGCCCCTCCCTTTGCTCTGGCTTCGCTTTTTCCTGGACCTGAGCACGGAACGGACCAGGTAGCCCTTCCACACGGCCTGGATGAGCGTGGCGGCCCGCACCATGCGCAGCATCTCCTGCTCGGCCTCCGTTTTCTTCTTGGCATTGACCTCCCGCTCGGCCTGGATCTGGGCGAACTCCTCCACGAGTGCCTTGTACTTCTGCCTCAGCTCCTCCAGCTGGACCTTCTCCTCCTTGTGGATGATGTCGAGCTCCTCGTACTCGTCCTGGGGTGGGGGGGCAGGGGGTGGGGGTCACCGAGCACGGGGCGCCGCCTGCCACCCTCCCCTGCGTGCACCCCCGCCCTTCCCGAAGGGGCTTCTGCCCCGGCAGTGCCGCCTACGGTCCCAGAGCTGTGGGGAGGTGGGCCTGAGGGCACCCTGTTTTCTAGGTCTCCGTTCGCTAAGCGCTTCCTCCAGGCCGCGTCCTGCGCCGGGTGCTAGCATTTGTGACCGTGGTGCCTCACTGTATCCCCTTCGTGGTCCCGGCACGGGGATGACTGTCGATCACATGCAGAGTCAGGCTCAGAAAGGTCAAGCCCCTTGCTTCAGGTCACACAGCGGGTAAGGGACACTGGAGTAGAAGCTCCAAATGATAACAGGGACCAGCTTCACTGCGCTGTCGCAGCAGGGGGACATCTCAGGCCCTCAGGAGAAACCTGGGCGCGACTGAGGGAAGCAGGGAGGCAAGCCCGTGCCTGAGTCTGCCCAGGAGGAGCCCTGGCTCATGAGGCTGCTGGCAGGAGCCGCGTGCGGAAGGGACAGAGAGTATGGGATGTGGACACTAGATGGAGCCAAGATCGCTGGGCCCAGTGACAAGCGCTTAGTGGCTTCCGGCTTCCGGCTTCTTCCTCTCCCACCTCTCCCCACGCTGTGCGAGGCCAGACAAACCCTTGGGCCTAAGGTAGGGGGGCAGGGAAGCCTGTCTGGGGAGGCCCAGAGCTTGGCACAGACCATGGGCCTTTCCTAGAGGACCACGGGAAACGCACTCGAGAGACTACAGCACAAATACCTGCTTCTCGCCCATCTCCATGTCGTATTTCTGGATCCAGTTCTCAATCTCCGTCTCCACTTTGTATTTCTTCTAAAAAGAAGTCAACGAGTCATTGTTTGATGGATTCATAGGAACAACAAACCGTGCCGAGCTCACTCTGCAACAAGCTTTAACGTGCCTCGCCCACAAGATAGTTTTCTCCATTTCACAGATGAGGAAACTGAAGATCAGACGTGCTAACTCACTTGCCCAAGATCACAGAGCGAATGAGAGGTAGGGCCTGAATTTGAAGCCACAGGCGTCTGACTCCAGAACACTCTAGGCAGAGGGAGCAGCCAGTGCAAAGGCCCTGAGGTAGGAACAGGCTTGCGGTGTTTAAGAGCAGAAATTGAGCCAGTGTGGCCAGAAATGGAGTGGCTGAGGAGGAGCGGGGTCCCAGGGAGGTCAGAGTCAGAAGCTGCATCACCGAAGGGAGTGTCAGCGGTGGAAGCAATTTGGATCCTAGTGTAAAGGAGACGGAAAGCCATTGGGTGGATTTTGATGCAGGAGAGGGACATAATCTGTTTTTTAAAGATCAGCTCCCCTACCTACAACGGAATGTTATTCAGCCATAAAAAGGAACGAAGTATTGACAAATGCTACGTGGATGAACCTTGAAAATGTGAGCTAAGGGAAAGAAGCCAGACACAAAAGGTCACATATTCTATGATTCCATTTAAATGAAGTGTCTAGAACAGGCAAATCCATAGACACAGAAAGCAGATTAGTGGTTGCCAGGGGCTGGAGGGAAGGGGGAATGGGGAGTGACTGCTTAACGGGTCCGGGTTTTATTTGGGGGGATGGAGACGTTCTGGAACTAGATAGAGGAGGTGGTTGTACAACACTGTGAATGTACTAAATGCCACTGAACTGTTCACTTTAAAATGGTTAAGTTTAGGGGTGCCTGGGTGGCGCAGTCGGTTAAGCGTCCGACTTCAGCCAGGTCACGATCTCACAGTCTGTGAGTTCAAGCCCCGCGTCAGGCTCTGGGCTGATGGCTCAGAGCCTGGAGCCTGTTTCTGATTCTGTGTCTCCCTCTCTCTCTCTGCCCCTCCCCCGTTCATGCTCTGTCTCTCTCTGTCCCAAAAATAAATAAAAAACGTTGAAAAAAAAATAAAATGGTTAAGTTTAGGGGCGCCTGGGTGGCTCAGTTGGTTGGGCGTCCGACTTCAGGTCAGGTCACGATCTCACAGTTCATGGGTTCGATCCCCGCGTCGGGCTCTGTGCTGACAGCTCAGAGCCTGGAGCCTGCTTCGGATTCTGTCTCCCTCTCTCTCTCTGCCCCTCCCAGGCTCACACTCTGTCTCTCTGTCTCTCTCAAAAATAAACATTAAAAATTTCTTTTGGTGGTTGTTTATGTTATGTGAATTTCAGTGAAGAACAAATAAACCAACTCCCTAATCCTACAGGACAAGAGCTCTTTGACTTGGGCACCATGGACTGGCTGGCTGCAGAGGGCCTGTGCCCCCCAGAACCGCCTCCCGGACGTGCAGGTGTATCTGTGCCTTCTTACGGAGGAGAGGCCCATGGCTTCCATCAGATGCTCAAGAGTCATGACACTAAGATGAAAATTGGGAACAAGTATTAGAGAATTCCTTTATGAGGAAAGAGATCCAGAAGCAAGCTGGGTGTGTGCAGGCCCAGGTCCCAGAGGAGATGCTGGAGAAGGCAAGAGAAGTGATGTGTCCTGAGCACTTAATGCACTCACTTTCCACCTACCGTCTCATTCGATTCCCCCAGTGACCCCTTAGACCGATCTGCTCACTTTCGTTTTAAAGATGGCAACAGGGCTGGAGGGAATTACGAAATTCCGCCTGAGGTTTAGGAGCTCCTTCAGGTCCTTTGCACGACAAGGTGGGTGTTATCATCCCTCTGGGGCTCAGAGTAGTTAAGGCACTTGCCCAAGGTCACACAGCCAGCGTGCAGGAGGATAGGACCAGTGTCTCCGCCCCAGCCCCCAGGCCCATGTGTAGCACCGGGGGTGGGGTGTAGACACTGGCTCATTCTTGCACTTCCCCTGTTCCCTAGCCCTCCTCCTCAGGGGAGCTGTTCCCTGGCTGGCTGGGGGAGCCCTACCCTGCCCCGCCCTCCTGCTAGACCACCCCTCCCCTGCCCCCGGGGCCTCCTCCCCTCCCTGCTGTCCCCTGTACCTTCCTCAGCACCTGCTCTGCCTCCCGGTTTTCCACGACCAGGTTGTGGTGTTGTGACCTCAGCAGCAGTATCTCCTGCTGGATCTTGGCCACCCTGGCCTGCGAGGCCCGGAAGTCTGCCTTCTGCTGCTTCTCGGCCTCCTGCTTGGTGCGAAGGAGGTTGTTCTCGGAGAGCCTGAGCACCTGGTGCAGGTGGTTTTTCAGTTCTTGGATCACGAAGTTCTCTTTCTCCACCTGGGCCAGGAAGACGAGAGGCTCCATCATTACCTACGTGATGCCCGAGAGTCTCAGGAGAACTGGTACCACACGCTCCCTTGCGGGGGGAGCCGGCCACCTGCGCTGTTACCTGGCGGAACCCTGCCCCCAGTGCCCAAGGGGGACGGAGACCGCCTGATCACAGCCAAGGAAATTGAGGCTCAAGGGCATCGACTCCTCTGTCTGGGGCTGTACAGCTGAGCCGGGGAGGGGTGGGGGTACTTGAAGCCAGGTCTGTCTGATCCAGACCCCATGTGCTTGGCCACCCCCTCTGTCTCCTGGCTTGAGTGATGGGCACAGGCAAGCTGGGGCGAGGCCTCTGGGCAGGTCTGGACAGTGGCACAGAACAGGAGTATCCCGTTGGCAGAGACACTAGGAGTGTTTCATGAGAGCACGAGACACACGTACTGTGGGGATTGCCCCCCGCTAATGCTTGAGGGACAAAACCACCCTCAGAAGGTTCTAGAACAGGAATGGGGGTGGAGGATGGGGCCATTTTGTAAATAAGCTCCAAAGGCTGGTCACAAGCCCCGGAGTCTCCCTGTGAGCACAGCAGTGCTGTGACTGGCTCCTGCCAGCAGCCTGGGGGGCTGGGGTCAACTGGCAGGGGGGACCCCTGGGGGTCCGAGCTCTTGACCCCGCGGCAGCCCAAGGGTGTCACCCTCTCATTTCACACTGAGATCCAAGTGACACGATAACACTTGTCAACCCGGAGAAATGGAGTTTGAGCCCAGATCTGTCCAACTTGGAAGCCCAAGCTGTCTCCACCACCCGAATGGGACCCACTAAGCTGTTTGGGGCCCCTCTCCCTGTCCCTCGCCAGCGCTCTTCCAACCTGTGCGTGGTCTCCCCTGACTGAGCGCCCCGGGCCGAAAGAGACAAGGCCCCCGTCCTCTTATGGGGTGCCAGACCCGAATCAAATCACCAGATAAATAATCGCATAAACATTCCTCAACAAACTCTGCTTTCAAGGACAAATTCAGTGAGAACCTAAGGAGGTTCAGCCTGAGCTAGGGCGTGGGGGAGGCCGGGCGGCAAACAGTTTCGCAGGGCCTCGCGCTCTGTGTATCACAGGGGGCTGGAAATGGCAGTGCCAAGGCTGTGGAGCAGAATACTCCTGGGAAACATGGCCCCAGGCACGGACGACCCTTCCCAGCAAAGCCAGCCACAGGGTGTGGCTAAGATCCGTGACCGTGGGCTACTTCCAGGTTGCATCCCCAAAGGGCCAGGGTCAAGGCCCTCCTCCCCTTTCTGCCTCCTGTTGGCTGGACCAGCGGTGACATGATGGGGGTCTTCTGGGTCCACGGTTAGAAGCCCTGTGTGGGCGGCGGGGGGGGGGGGGGGGGGGGGAGGGACGGGTTGGGAGAGGGGCAGCAGAAAGGCCCGATGGAAGGAGCCTGGAGCCCTGACGAATTTACAAGGCAGAGCTTCTGTGACTGCTCCAGCTTTCCCACTAGAGAGAAACACATTTCCACCTTGACTAAGCCGCTGTCATCTTGGGTCTGTCTTGGGAGCCAAACCTATACTTAGATACCACCTCACGGGGACTCTGTAAGGCTCTTCTGAGCAAACGTGTGCACAGCATAATACATAGGTGTGCATCCCGGATGGTTATTAGGTTGGAATCATGTTATCGTTCCCCCTTCTTCAAAATCCTTCTAGAGCTTCCACCTGTGCCATCTGCCCCTCGCCCTCCGAACAGAGATCACATTCGCTGATGAGGCCTCAAAGGTATTGTGTGGTCTTCTGGCAAAGCCTAAAGTACTTACTCCCCAGCCCTTTGTAGAAAGAGCTCGCCTGTTGCTGGCCTGGCCTGTTCCTCCTCCCTCTCTTGCCTGGTTCACTCCCTTTCGTTCTTCAGGTGTTGGCTCTGATGTCTCTGACCCTTTGGGTCTCTTGTAACACTGTCCTATGGCACCCTGCGCTTACCCTCCGTCGTATTTCTCAAAACCGTAACGAAATCAGGTCTTTAAGACCTACCTTCCCCCAAACTGCATGAGGCAGGGACAATGTGGACTCATTTATGAGACCCGGCACCTAGTAAGTGCTCCTAGCAGTACGCGTGGGGTGAGTGAATGACAGCAGGCGTTTAAGTCACCAAGGCAAAAACCCGACCGCCGAAAGGGTTCGCTTCTCCGTGCGGCCCCTTCCACGGTCTGACCGATACCTCTGCGTCCCTGTTCTTCATGCTCGCCGCCAACTCATTCTCCAGCGCATCAATGATGTCCTGGTTCCTCCTGTTCTGTCTACTGACATCCTGTATGAACTGAGTCTTCTCTCTGGCTTCCATGGGGCTGGTGAGTAGCTTCTCGAACAGAAAGCCCCGCAGTTCCATTAGGCAGTCAATAAAACGCTGGGCTTCTGCGCTTCTGCCCAGCGCGTGCATCTCCGAGAGCTTTGCCGCCTGCGGGTTATCGAGCAAGAGTCTCAGGACGTCTTTGGTGGACTCTCTGATGTGCTCCATGAGCGGCAGTAGGTTGGATTTCTGCAGCTGCACGGAGAGGAGGCGGTCTCTGAGCCATCCCTCGTCCTCAGACTCTTCCTCCTCCTGCAGCCGCCTCTCCTTATCCTGCAGGTAAGCGACACTGTCCAGGAGGCTGCGACACAGGTCCTCGTGCTCTCTCACCGCCCTCCTGACGTCCCCTCCCAGAATCCCCTCCAGAGCCTCGTCCTTGGAAGCCAAGTGTGAGAGCAGGGTCACCAGCTCCACCTTGTGGATGGTCTCGTCCAGTATGGACATGACCCTCTTGGTCTCGATGGTGGTGAGTTTGGACTTCGAGGGGACCAAGGGTTTTAGCGGGGAGGCCGGCTTTTTGGACAGCTCTGCCGTCAGCCTCATTCTGTTGATGTCAGGGCCCTGGTAGAGAGGGGCCACGGTGAGGACATCGAGAGCCATTTTCCAAGCGGTCTCCCTTGCCCCTGTGCGCCCTGGGAGGCGCAGACCTTGGCAGACTACGTAGGTCTCCTGCCGTTAGTGGCTCTGGCGACCCTGCGAAGGAAGGAGTAAGCGGTTAGTGGCGCGGGGCTGCACGAAGGTGGCTGCTGTGGCCGCAGCGGCCACCGACCGTCAACGCCGAGAGCTCGTCCCGGGTGCCCCGCAGCTTTTACGCAGAACCTCTCACTGAAAGCAGTTTCTAGCGTTGTGACGGCATCGGACACGAGGGAAGGAAGACCAAGCGTAGAGGTGGGTCTCAGGCACAGATGTCAGGCAGGGCACAGCCGGGAGCGCAGACACCATTCTGTTGAAGCGACTTAACTAGGTACGATATTAAGCGTCCCCGGAAATGGGTTTGTTCAGCCATTTACATTAATGAGCATTTAATCGCAACAGACATCGTTTCGGGTGACTTAACATGAATGAATAAAAGTCAATGCTATTGAATTTTTTTTTTTTTTAAGCATCTAAATATAGAAAGCGAGTTACACGGGTGATGGAAATAGTTGAGAGGCTAACCAGGGAAGGGGAAGCCACCCAGCCACCGTCAACGGCAGGAGGCCACCACAGAAGGAGCTGGTGGTGAGCTTGGAGGACGAGGGTCACCCAGGGGAAGCTGGAACCGCACCCATTTCCTGTCCAGGCGGGGCTATAGCCCCCCCAGGAGCTGTGGTCACCGCTGGAAACGCAGCCCAAAGCAGAGAGAAGAGGAAATAAGGTGGTTTCTTCTTCCTCCCACCCTCCAATCCGACACCAGCGCCTCCCATTGGCCAAACCCCGGGGGAAGCCAGAGGACAAGACGAGTGGGCACAGCAGCCTGCAGGTGTCAGCAGCCCGAGACAGAGCAGCACAGGGACAGAGGGAAGAATGCGGCTGCGAGCAAATGGGACTGGGACCAGCACAGCACATCTGCGCTGGTTTTTAAGTATGGATTTTAAAAGTCGGGGGGGGCGCGAACAGTGACTTTGAAACACAGTCTTTCGAACCTGCTTCGCTACGTGCGATGTTGTATCTCGGACTGGATCCTGGAAGGGGAAACGGACATTAGTAGGAAAATGTAAAATCAAACCAAGCCGATGGTGTCGTTAACAGCATCGTACCAATGTTAGTTTCTTGGTTTTGACGGACAGACCCATCACGGTTATTGAAGATATTAACGTTGGGAGAGCTGAGTAAAAGGGCATTTGGGAATCCTGAACTATCTTTGCAACTTTTCCGTAAATCTACGGTCATTACGAAATAAAAAGTTGAAAAAACTCTGAGAAATTTGTGGCAGCGATCAGAAATCGATCGTGGATGTTGTCTACCTGGCACAATGGCTGAGTACTAGCTTCGCAGTAGCCCCACTTGGGTTTAGACCCTTGCTGGGGGGACCCTGGGCTACTTGTCCAATCCTCCTAAGCCAGGGCTTCCTCACCATAAAACAGAGATCTTAAGGTCCGGTGAGAAGTTGCTGGCACAGGGCCTGTACGTGGTAAGTGCTCAATAAATAATAACTAGCATTATTAACCCAGGGAACCCTGATCCCAGGTCCAGGACTGTGGTGATTTCCTGGTCTGAGTGTCTGGGCTTGGCCGGAGATCCATATGTACCATCGGACTTGCCTCCTGCCTCCTGCCTCCTGCCTCCTGCCCAGGATTGGCTGGGCCTCCCCAACATACCATGTCTAAGAGGGACCTCACCGCGTCCCCAGCCCTTACCCTGCTCCTTCCTTATCCTTTGTCCTGGCGATTGGCAATTCTGCCATCCTACTTGCTCGAGCTGGAAACCTGAGTGCCACCCCACACTCTCCTCCCCCCCCCCCCACATCCCAGTCTCTTCGTTCTTTCTCTGACAGCGCCCCCTCCTTTCCTTTCCTTCTGGGCAGCCTCTGTGCCACCGAGTGAGGGCCTTATCATCTCTCACTCGGATGATTAAAGAGCTTCTTAACTGGTCTGCTTACGTCTGCTCCTGCTCCCTGCAGTAAGGGTCATCTATCTGGGTATTTATTGAGCTCCTGGGGATATAAAAGAGATTCAAGGAATGGTTCCTGTCCTGCCAGTTTATAACCTAGTTTGGAATATGAAACACGCACGCGTGAAAGTTCAACAACTCTAGGAGGAAGGGCATAAAGCTGTAATCACAGAATAGGTTGAGATCATGCCCAGCTTTCAACATAGAGTGGGGACTCTGGAGTTTATCTTGTAGGAGATTGGGATCCATTTTGATTTTGGGAAACAGGTAACAGGATCAACTCAGATTTTCGAGAAAGATTGGTCGTAATGGATGATTTATAGGGAAAGGGTTGTGGCAAGTAGAGAGCTTGGGGTATTATAAACCTTCCACCTCAGGGCCCTTGCACATGCTCTTTTCGTCTTCTTAAAACATTCTTCTCCCTCCTTATTACTAAGTTAATTATTTGCACTCAGATCTCAGTTCACGTGTCACTTCTTCAGGGAAGACTTGCCTGGGCTTCCAGGCTGGGTCAAATTCTTGTAGTTGATTCTTATAAGGCCAGCCTCTTTGTGGCAGCCACCATCCCCATCCCAACCTCCTTCCTTCTTGCTTGCCTATAATATAGTGACTGGAAATATTCAATGCTCAACTTCTCAACCTCCTTTACAGTTCTGAGTGGCTATAGACACTGTTAGAGCCAATAAAATAGATAAGTTTTCTAGGGGCTTCTAGGAAACCTTTTACCTTCCCCATACAAAAGAAAGACATTGTTGGCTTCACCTCCGTTCCTTGAACTTGGGCTTTAATGCTGGAGCAGTGGCAGCCACTTTGTGAATGAGAAGGAAACTGCAGGAATGCTATTCCTGATGTCATTCAGCCACTGGACCTTCCAAGGGTCCATCATCTCTTACCCAGATGACTGTGAGAACCTCTTCACTGGTAACCCTGCTTCCGCCTACGTCCTCCACGGTCTCATCACAGCAGTCAGAAGGAACCTTTTAAAACGTCAGATTCTTTTACTCCTCTGTTCAAAATCCAGCTCACGAGGACCGGTTATTAAAATTTCAGGGTATTTGTGAGGTTCCTGTTAAGCCATTGGTGACTTGACTTTTTTTTTTAAGTTTGTTTCATTTATTTTGAGAGAAAGAGAGAGAGAGGTAGAGAGAGGGAACCTTAAGCCGACTCCGCACTCTCCGTGCAGTGCCCGATGTGGGGCTCGAACTCAGGAACCGTGAGATCGGTGACCTGAGCCGAAACCAAGGGTCAGGTGCTCAACCAACTGAGCCACCCAGGTGCCCCAAGCCATCAGTAGTTTGAAATCAGCCATGGTGGGAGTATTTACACACGGAAATTGGCGAATACTACAGATCAGTGCCCCCTCCCACCAAACTGGTTGTTGGACATTTACCAGAACCCCCCGCTACCAACAGTTCCCCATCTCACTCGGGATAAAAGCCAAAGTCCTTACAACGACCTAAAAGGCCCTACGTAATCTGGCTGCTGCGACCACTTGCTCTTCTGCAGTCAGACCGACCCTTTTGCTGTTCCCTGAACATGTCAAATGTGCTCCAGCCTCTGACAGGGCCTTTGCACTTGCTGTCTGTGCACCACGACCTCTGCCCCCCCGCCAAGCCCCAGGGCTGGAGCATTCATCTAAATATCTGCAAAGCTCGTTCCCGCACTTCCTCCTCTGCTCAAATCTTTGTGTAGTAGTGAGTGCTCTCCGGATTTCCTTCATAAAACGTAAACCCTCTCCTCCTCCCTGCCCTCCCTGCCCTCCCTTTCCCCTTATCCCGTTTGCTTTTCTCCCGGCTAGGTTCTCACCGTCTGACATCCATATGTGGGCCTGTTTGTTTATTGTCTGTCTTTCCCCCTCCCCTAAAAGGTGAGCTCCAATGAAGGCAGGGGCTTTATCTATTTTGATCACGGCTACATACCCGGCACTGAAGAAAACACCTCAACATCGTCTTGGGGCGAGGGCTGGGCCTGCCACCTCCAGGTTCCCTGTGCCCTTCTCCTTGTCATATGCTGTGGATGCGAGAAATGTTTTGAAGACGGAGTCATCAAGGGGCGCCTAGGTGGCTCAGTCGGTTAAGCGTCTGACTTCGGCTCAGGTCATGATCTTGCGGTCCGTGAGTTCAAGCCCCGCGTGGGGCTCTGTGCTGACAGCTCAGAGCATGGAGCGTGTTTTAGATTCCGTGTCTCCCTCTCTCTTCTGACCCTCCCCTGTTCATGCTCTGTCTCTCTCTGTCTCAAAAATAAATAAACGTCGGGGCGCCTGGGTGGCTCAGTCAGTTAAGCGGCCGACTTTGGCTCAGGTCATGATCTCGCGGTCTGTGAGTTCGAGCCCCCCGTCGGGCTCTGTGCTGACAGCTCAGAGCCTGGAGCCTGTTTCAGATTCTGTGTCTCCCTCTCTCTGACCCTCCCCCGTTCATGGTCTGTCTCTGTCTCAAAAATAAATAAACGTTAAAAAAAATTTTTTTTTAAATAAAAAAATAAATAAACGTTAAAAAAAAAAAGGAGTCATCAGGACTTGATGAGTGAGACCGTTTTGCGTTTGGGGGACTGGGAGAGAAAGATTGGGCCCTTTTGAGGGACTAGACAAATTGGGGGGAAGGAGGTATGGAAGGGAGGACAATGAGCTCGGTTTTTTTTTTAAATATATTTTTAAGATTTATTCATTTTTCAGAGACAGAGAGTGGGCGGGGGAGGGGCAGAGCGAGAGGGAGACACAGAATCCAAAACAGGCTCCAGGCTCCGAGTTGTCAGCACAGAGCCCGATGTGGGGCCCGAACTCACAGACGGTGAGATCACGACCTGAGCTGAAGTCGGTCACCCAATGGACTGAGCCACCCGGGCGCCCCTCGGTTTTATTTTTTGTGTGTGTGGTTTTTTAAAGTCTATTTATTTTTGAGAGCAAGAGAGAGTGTGCTTAGCCACGGTCGGTGTCTGTTGCTTACAATCAAAGAAGCCTAGCTGAGCGTGCTCTAGGCATCTCACAACACACATCCAGGGGGTCCTGGGAGGCCTTGGGGACAGAGACATAAATACAGAGGGAGGAGTCGCGGACGCTTGAAGCCCCAAGAGATATTCAGTTCCCCAAACCGGAGTACACGAACAGAAGAGCAGGAATCAGAGGAACATCTCGAGTGACCATGAGCAAGGAAGAAAGGCAGCCAGATGAGATGCTAAGGACGGCCAGGCTTCCTCGGCCAGGCAAAATGGGTCCCAAAGTCAGAAGGCTCTGGGAGCTGACCGAGTGGAGGCGAGGAGGGCCCTACCTTGCATCTTTGTCCCCCCACCCCCACTTTCTGCTCCCCCCGTCAATCTCGTGAATCCCCTTAAGGCTCCCCGCCCCCCCGCAAAGATCATGTTTTAGGGACAGCCAGGGAGCTTCCTCGGCCCCTCTGAAGATCTTTGCTCCGTGGCCACGGGATGAACGTGAACAAAGTGCTTCACGAAGCTGTCCCATTGTCCCCCAAAGCTCTCAGGCATAAATCAAAAAACGCCTGAACTCTTCAGAGATTGCAGCTGGAAATGCAACGTTCTATGAAATGTTTCCAATTTGCTTTCAGCCAAATTACCTCTTTTGCTTTAAAGGGCAAACTTGTTTTCTTTGATTATGATGACGCCCATCAGTGTTTGACAGCTCATTTGGGTGAACACGGAGAACGATCGGGGGGAAATGCATCTCGCTCTGATGACAAAAATCACTGGAGAATCTCTTTCCCTTGAATCCTAATATGATCATTTCATGTCCTTTTTAATGCCACCAACCTTAATATTTGAATCATTTCCAACTTAAGCCTCTCCTTTTAAAATTCCTGCCCTGAGAGTGAAGCAAGGTTGTTAATGGATGGGGAACTTTAATTGGGTCTTCCCTTTATTTGTCATTAATTCTGCTGATGAACTTTATAAATGGAAATATATCTTTATCATGCAAATTATACCTCGGCTTCATTCAAATGGGCTTGTTGGATATTTTATTACTTTTCACTCTCAGAACATTTTGAGAAAAGAAAAAAAGGGTTTGAGCGAAATTACATTTTCTTCCCCTTGGGGAGAAAAAGAGGAAGAAAACCTGACCCTTGCAACTACCCCGCACATCTCACAATGGTACATGGAGGCAGAGGGGGTTAAACAAAACTGGAGTGTGGTGGGGGGGGAGGAGGCGGGGGGGGGGAATCTCATTGCAAAGAACGACATTTTGATATTAGCTAACTCTTGACAACTGATTCCATACCCAACACTGTTCTAAATGCCTTGGGTGTATTAACTCCTTCATTCCGTCAACAACCTTACGAGGTAGGTGCTTTCATTAGCTCTA